CCGCCCGGAGCGAGCCAGGCTGGGGCCGGCCCGAGGTCCAGGGCCCTAGGACAGCGCAGCATTCTTTGCTCGGACCATGGGGCTGTGCAACCACTGGACTCGGAAGGGAAAATGCCCTCCACCTTCAAGACGCACAAATCAAGTAAGCACGCAGCCGAGGGACAGCAACCCAGAGACCTGAACGCGCGCTCCAGTAAAGACGGCGAAGCGCTTTATTGCCCCCTTGTGGATACGGCCAGTACTGCGGGTGGAATGGAGTCGGCCCCGCCAAGAAATGAGCAAATTGCATATGCAAATTTATGCAAGATTGAGAATTCACCTAGTTTTCCGTGGCCGCATCTATAGCCTTGGAAATAAAACCTGAAGAGTAGACACCAAAATTATGCCACAGTGTCGCCTTCTTTTCAGCCCTACGAGGCGACTAAGCAAGCACGGCAAGATACCGGGCAGAGATTAGGAGCTTCCTCCCGCTCATTTGCATATGCAGTGAGGCGCGGCCTCAAGTCCTTGGCAGAGGGAGCTGGGGTCTCGGCCGTTCCGCTCACCTGTGAAGGACAGGGAGGTCCAGGGCCGGCTCCCAGTGCTGACCGCCGGTCAAGGCGAGGCTCAAGGGCCCAGTTTTTACCTCCCCCGCCCCGTTTCCTATGCCTTCTATGGAATCGCCTCAAGGAAAGTGCAATATTCCGGGTCTCTGCGGAGAAGCCGAGCAGCCTGAAGGGAGCTGGCGCTGGGTGGGGGGCGGCGAGGCGTTGCCCCCCGAAGACACGGGACAGATGTGACAAGCCGGAGGCCTTCTCCAAGGCCAAGGGCCCTCCTAGAGGCAGGCAGGCGTGGCCGCGCAGTGTGCGGGCTGGGCTCTCAAGATGGAAGCAACAGCCTGGGGTACGCAACATGCACACGTGTAGGTCACTGCTGGAGGACAACAGGGCGACCAAACACGAGAAGTGCTCAGGGCAGCACTGAGGAGCCGCTGCCACCGCCCTCTGCCTCTTGCACCCTGTAAACGAGTCCCCATGCCCGGCGGCAGCGGCGGCGCCTCTCAGTGTCCCAGACTCACGCGCAGGCCCGGAGTCTGCGATGGACAGGACGCAGGCTTCAGGAGCGGCCTTTCAGACCCCTGTGCCACGCGCGTTGTAGCGGTGATCACTGAGCACTGATAACTGAGGAAAGGGCGTGAGATCCCGAGTCAGGAAGCGAAGACTTTTGACAGAGGCCGAAATACTCGACAGCTTTCATTCCCTACAAAAAATGGAATTCCATCTCCTCTTTTTAAGGAGTTCCTTTAACTTTTGGAGAATTTAGGAAGCAAGAGACCTGTGCACAACACAACGCAAACCGTGGTTTTGGCTGTGAAACGTTGGCCAGCTGCTAAGACAAGTTTCGGCAATGAGATGCTCACATCACATGCAGAATAGGCTCCGACCTCCTTTTTATTACATCCTTCATATACTGTGCAGCAATCATACTTTTAATATGCATTAGATGAGAACAACTAGAAAAGAAGCAGGGTTTTGAGGGATGGGGGGCAGAGACGAGGGAGGCAGATCAGAAATGGGTAAAGGAGTTTTGTTAAACCCAGAGAGCACTTCTAAATTCGTCTGACTGAAATAGAGTCACGGGCACGACTTGCCATCTGTTTACGGAAGGAGAGGACGCAGGGCGGCGGCGGCTCGAAGGGCCGGCGGGTGCTCAGGAAGACTTCATGGGAGGCAAGCCGCTGGAGGCACCGTGACCTGCAGTCCTGGGGGAAAGAGGGCGGCGGAGAGTGAGGCCAGGGTAACCGGTCCCAGCGCTGGACACGGACCTGCCAGGGTGTAAATAACAGGGAAAAAAGCGACCCAAACACGACATGGAGGAAGAGGACAGAAATGTCCCGAGTTCCCAGCCCAGGCCTGCGCCAGGCTGCAAGGGGAGCGCGCCGGGGCACGGGTGGGTGGCAATTGCTAGACTGGAATCACCAGAGGTAGGAGCTGGACCAGGAAGAGCGAGCCAGGGCTCTGGCTTGTTGAAGGCACTCAGGGAGAGAGTGAGACGGGGGCGAAGGTTCGCTCCACCGTCAAGAAATCAAAAGACTCCAGAACACTGATCGCGTGCGCTACAGCCGACAAAGCAGAAAGGAACCCACATTCACGTCACTTCCGACAACAGCACAGCTTCTACCGAGGCAGGCAGGAGTCTGCGCTCCGAGTACCAACTCTGCGAGGCCGGTCTGACTCCGGGACAGGGTCTGACGCACGGCTCGTTATCTGGTTCTCAGTGAATTCGCTGAAGCCAAAGCTTCAAAGTTGGGACAACAAAGGGCGTCATTTTCCTTTGAGACTTGCAAAGCCTGCCCTCGAAGACAGAGAGAGCCGATCACAAAGTCTATAAAAAGTCTAGAGAGTATAAAAGTAGAGAATAGGAAAGTGGGTGCACCGCATGGCAACTTGTATGGCTTCCGTGGAAAAGGCAGAGGGGTCTCCACTCGGCTTCGTCGAGGTAGTGTCCAGGGCTGCACGGGCAGGTGACACCGGCGGGTCAGCGGGTGCTGTTATTGCATAATAACGCCACCGTCCCCAGTGGCTATGACCTTTCATTCCTGAAAAAATGGCCTCTTGGGACATTTCCTATCTTGGTTTAGGCAAAGGAAATTTAAAACTCAATTTTTTTTTGGTGGAACTGGGGATCGAACTCAGGACCTTGAGCTTGCGAGGAGGCAGGCAGCGGCACCACTGAACTAAATCCCCGGCCCTAAGACTCAATGTTTACTTGCTCAACCTTACAGTCAGAAGAATTCCAGGTGAACTGACTTTTTCAGAATTAGCTGATAAAAGGCTTAAAAGCAACTTATCACTGTTGGCATTAAATACTCTCCATGCAGTCTGAAACGGCGCTGAAGTTTCCATCCTGGGGTCAGCAATGCAGTAAAGTTGCCTTCTCCATACAGTAGCTCAAACGAAAGGATCTTTCAGGTTTGCTTTTTTTTTTAAAACATAAAAAATCCAGGGGCCAGGGATTTAGCTCAGTGGTTCTACTGCCTGCCTCGCAAGTGCAAGGGCCCGAGTTCAATCTCCGGTACCAAAAACACAAAACACACAAAAAACACACACCAAACTGGGTTTTACTAACTGAAATCTGCACGATGGGTAAATATATACGTATGTCTGCAATGTATTTCTATCTCTGCTTCATATCTTAAGATTTAAAAGTGCCAATAATATCAAAATGAAACTGTACACATCCATTCAACAAAAATAAAAACTGGGAGAAAAAAATCTCATAAAGTTTTCCCAGGCTCTCTTTAGAGCATTCTGACTTCCGTTAGTGTGCTAGGGACAAATTCTAGGGGCAGTTCTAACTGTGAGAGCAAGGGACTTCCAACAACTGCAGTTTTGAGAAAAGAAGGTACAACTATGGAATTCTCCACACGCAGCCATTAACCCAGGGCTCTCCATGTACACTTCGGACTAGAAAAGTGCACGGAAGTGATCGGAAGGGATCTGGAGAGGTTTCTTGGGACTGCAGTAAGGTTTTATGCAGACTCTCCATTTGCTGAAAACAAGAATGAAATCATAAATATGTGCAGAAATGAAGCCACATGCTTTAAACTGATCATCTTTTTTGCAGTTGTTCAGAATTTAAAACTTCAGTATGAGCCTACCTCACTCAATCTGAGAAAGCAGCAGCCCCCCTGCACCCGAGACAGGGTCTCCTTACGTAGCTCAGGCTGGCCTTGAACTCACTATATTGTGGCCCAGGCTGGCCTCGACTTCATGGCAATCATCCTGCTTCAGCCTCCTGAGTGCTGAGATTACAGGGGCAGCAGCCTTTTTTAAGGCTAAAAAAGAATTTCTATTTGAATGATACATCTATGAAAAAAGGATAGAAAATACAAAAACCACCGGAAATACAATGCCAACTCAGAAAAGCCCTTGGGGAACCTTCCTCAAATGTGCAACCCTCGCAATGGTACAAGCCCTCGAAGATAGTGTAAAATGAAGTTGCGAGAGCGAGCCTCAGCCTGGTGTCCACGTAACGCTGCAGCGAAAGACACAGTGCAGAGGGGCTGAGGACTCCCACATCTTTTCACAAGCAAGTGAGCAGCCAACCACAGGCGCCATAGCGCACGTGGGGGAGAACACGGCACGACACAGCTCTCCCTTACAGGGACCCCACTCTCCGCCCTGAGCCTGAGCCTTCCGTGCAGGCCTGACGTCGACTGCAGTCCTGCGTTAGTGTCACGACTCCTCCGGGCGTCACTGTTCGTATCTCATGTGATGCTGACGAGGAGCCATCTTCCCCAACACCACAGATCCCAGTCAGGGAAGAAAGCCTGGAAGTTTCCAGATTGTTCCACAACCCATTTCACTAAGAGTTCTACTGTAGGACAATGTCAACTGTTTTTTTTTTTGCTTCTGGGAAAGATGGTGGTGATCTGTTTACTGCTGGTTTTCCTGTGTAGCAGCTATTTTCCTATGGTTATAGTTACTTGAATGAAAAGTCAAAGACAACTACCAGAGAATTTTCCGGGGTATAATCTCAGTATACCTCATGTAATGGTTGATTCAAGGATCTTGTCTAGAATTCAAAATTGTTGCCTAATACTGTAAATTTATTTAGAACAAATAAGGTATAACCAAGGAACTAAGCTATAACGTATCTTTTTAAGAAGTTATTTTAATGTTTAATATTTTAATGCTATGTCTACATAAAAGTGTGGCTTTATAAACTTGTCCTGGAAAGCAGAGGAGACGGTGGTGATCAGGGGAGAAGCCACTCAGGTCACAAGTCACAGTGAGGAATTAACTTCCTTGTCGGCTTGGGTGCCCGGGGGCCCAAAGAATGTACACAATATTTAAAATACTACTGTTTAAAACTTACAGCCAGAACTGGAAGGAAAGTATGTCTGGAGATACTTTTCTGTCTCCTACAGTATCTTCCTATGCATTTTAGAAGACAGAGGCAAAATCTGAAGGAGGAAAGTTAGAATGATTAAACCCAAAAGCCGACAGCGGGTGTAAAAAGAGGGATGTAAGCTCAATGGAGAGTTCCATTTTTCCCTGCTACGGAGCTAATCAGCTGGAAAAGTGCTTGACGCCTATCTGCACATTTAATATTAAAAAACAAAATAAATAAGAGCCAGGCAATGATGTAAGGACCCGAGCAAAGAGTCATGAGGGAATTCAAGGTTTAAAATGGAGGGGCAGTGGGGAAGGACCCGTCCTTGGCACTGTCCTCGGAGGGGGATGAACGCGCAGTGGCAGACACCGCCGAGCCCACGCCCAGCGGATGGAGTCGGCGCCGCCCGCCCCGGGGCCCTGGCTCTGCGGGCCGAGGCTGCACCGACCCAAGCGGAAGTGAGGCGCAGGCGCGCTCTCCCCCGGCTAAGGCTGCCGGCCCATCGGTCACCTGCGGCGCTGCAAGACTGGGGCTGTCCCTGCTCCACATCAACGGTGTTAAAATCGCTCAGTTGTGGACAGCAGACATTTCCAAAGTCATCCAAGTTTCTCAGCCCTACCGCAAATCATGTTTGAGATTTGTTTGCCACTTTAGCTTCTCATAACAATTCTTACAACAAAAACAAAAACAAAAAAAACAACAACCACCTCAAAACGAGAGCCTCCAGTTTGCGTCCCGGAACGGTTGCCAGGAGGGCCGTTCCTAAGCAGTGAGCAGCAGATGTGAGCGCCCCCTCATTTCCAGACCCGGGCACCCGCGGCCGCCCTGGCGCCCTCCACACGCCAGTCTCTAAAGCACCTTTGAGTTGTACGGGTGTAAGAGTAACTTTGAATTATAGAAGTTATAGGTATCTTTAAGAATCACATTTTGATGATTATAAATTTTTTTCTATTTTACAACATAGGTTCAGCTACACTGAAAAATTACACCGCTTATTGAAATACATTTCATCTTAGAAACGGGCTACTAAAGAAGTCTATACAAAAACTCTAAAATAATTTCTGTAGTAAAATAAAGAGTGCGTTAGGAGAGCTACACAAAGAAGAAAATTTCCATCTTTCTCTATAATGCTTGATTATACCGCGAATCGGAGCCGGTGCCCACGGCGGAAGAGAATTCATTACAATACACAGTGATACAATTAATGCTCTGGGTTAACCTCACAGCCTTCCCGATTAGTACAAAGGAAACCGGGCTACCTCCTCTTTGAGGAGAGGCCCAGGGTATAAAAGCAAGCATACCTCATCAGCTGATATGAAATTATAAAATCCCGTAAGTTGGAGTATTTGAAATTTATAAAAGTCATCAGAAAACGCGAGCCCACTGGGCTTCAGTTCGGCGGTTCCCCTGGTTTCAGGACAGTCCTCGCGAGCCGAGGGCGTCCCGGGCTCGGTCCGTCCGCGTCCGCG